TCCACTGGCCTTACTGTTTACTAGCTTCACCATAAAATCCTTTCTTCATAGGTATTTGTTCTCACTTCCCCCTGACCTACAAGTGAAGTGATGTGGAGGCAGAGACTATATCTCCTGGCCTTGGTATTCCTTTGCACATAAAGACTAGGATTAGTCAACAGCAGGCTTGTGGTGGGAAGAGGGGAAGATGTAGTGGAAAGGAGAGCACCCAGTCCTTGGGCCCTGTGTAGTGGCAATAAAAGGATATGTGGAAACCTGGTTGGGCTTCCATAACATCTTCGGTCCTAGTGCTACCTAAATGGTGATCAAATACCTACCATGGACAGAGAAGTTCAAATATTCTTTTGAGTTGGCTGGAGGTGGGAATATAGTCGTATCTGTAAAAATAGTAGGATTAGGAGGAGGAGAGGAAGGAAGAAACTGCTTCACAGAGCACAGGTCTCTGGGTTTTCTGTACTGCTTTATTCTAAAAAAATTCCCTCAGCCTTCACACTAATAGAGAAGTGAAATCTTCTCTTACCATTTCCTGTTGTGGCCTCACAGAAGGTTTCACATCTCCTCTGATGGCCAGAGCAGAGACCTAGACACGAGAGGGGACTTTGCTCAGCCTCACTGTCATTGCTAGGGTCATGCCTGGTATGGGCACGAGACCTCACAATGAGTGTTCCTTTGTCAGGGTGAGGTTTTGTAGATATTGAGAAGGACCTCAAGACCTGGTTCCTGCAAGATTAGCCTCATTATCTACCTGAGAGGCACAGGAAGGAACAGGAGAAGCATGTGTGTGTGTGTGTGTGTGTGTGTGCATGTATGCACGTGTATGTGTGTCTGTCTGTGGCAATGAGGGAGAACCCACATAATTTCTTTCTAAAAAAAAAAAATCTATTTGAGAACTAGTGAAAGGTTCTACAAATCTGATAAAGCACATCAGCGGCACCATGGCCTGGTGGTTAATACAGCTGGATCCCACATGGCCCAGCCTCAGTTTGAGTTCTGGACGCTGCAGCTTGGGAAACACACTGGGCACATGTGTACGCACGCTCAGAATCTCAACAGGATGAAGACATGGAAATGAAGGAATTGTGGATGACCCTCCCTACGTGGTGAGACCAAGTTCCCTCTCCCCATCTCTCTCTGGCAAGTGCACGCATCCTTTGGCAAAGCTTAAAAAAGCAAAATTATTGGGACCAGCAGTTGGTGTAATGGCTATGTCGCTGGACTCCCATGTAGTTGACCACGGTTCAAGTCCTGGACCCAGTGGCTTAAACTAATGTCGGGCACGTGCATGTGTGTGCCCAATATCCTGAGAGGAGAATGGAGGAGAAGGGATTGTGGCGTGGCCATCCCCTTGGGGCAGGGGGTGATTTCTTGCTTTCTGTCTCTCTGTCTCTCTCTTTCTGGCGAGTGCATGAGCCCTATAGCAAAAACCTCTTAAAAAAATAAAAAAGAAACCGAAAAAAAAAAAAGCAAAATTATCACAAGTGGGACTTTTTTTTTTTTTTCTTATAAAGAGATGGAGGGCACCAGCAGTTGGCGTAACGGCTATGTCACTGGACTCCCATGTAGTCAACTGCAGTTCGAGTCCTGGACATGGTGGCTTAAACTCACATTGGGCGTGTGTGCGTGCGTGCCCAAGATCT